GTTTTGACCTCTGTGCGTGCATGTGTGTGTGTGTGCGTCTGTGCGTGCGTCCGGACCTGTATCTTAGAAATGCCTGGACCAATCACAATCAAACTTTACAAATACATCATACATGATATTACATATGCACGCCAATTTGTTTCACGATCTGATTCAAGATGGCCGAATGGCGGCCATTTTTGTGCTAAAAATCATCAGAATCAAGCATTTCTCGGCTGTTTACAGATGGATTTTGTTCAAACTTGGTATATATAGACATTATAGGACCTTGATGCACATCATTTTGTTTTACGATTTAATTCAAGATGGCCAAATGGCGGCCATTTTTGTGCTAAAAAATCCTAAAAATCAACCATTTCTCGGCTGTTTACAGATGGATTTTGTTCAAACTTGGTATATACATTAGACATTATGGGACCTTGATGCAAATAATTTTGTTTTTCAGATAAGATTCAAAATGGCCGACTGGTGGCCATTTTGTATTAATGAATGTGGTTCTTGTGCCATATCTCTGACTTGCTTTCACTGATTATGTTCAAATTTTAAATATTCATTATACATCATGTCATAGATAGACAGATATATTGGTTTGACGATCCTATTCAAAATGGCCAAATGGTGGCCTTTTTTGTGCTAATCAAATATCAAGCATTTCTGGCATTTATGGATAGATTTCGTTCAAACTTGGTACATATACCGTACTCGACCGCGTTAGCGCCCAGGGGCCTCAACTCGGAAAATCATGATTTTGTAGGGGTGGGCGCTTACCCGAGCATCCTCCTCGAAAAAGAGTGCAAATGAAAATTGTTGATTCATCAAGTGACAGATTACGTCTTTGAGAGAAAATCAAATTACTAAATTAGTTGCGTCGTCATTGATTTTCACAATGAAGAAACAGAAATGATCACAAAAAATACGCACATTTTATTACAATATTAATACGTACCACCATAATTTACGGAATTAAAAACATTTGAGTCTGTTGGAACACAGTCGAAGTCAAAATTGTCATATTATTTCCACTGACGAAGTTGTTGGAACGTACGCAAACTCTCGATGAAAATCACTTTCCGCCATGATGCAATTGCAGATTTGACCTACAGCAGCGTCCTTTGACCTAATGGGTCAAGTTGGTTATTAACTAATCTGAATGCTGTGTTGTACTGACGCAATTCTTCGGAAATTCCCGAAGACTTTTCGGTAACGCAATGCGGAAGTGAATAATCAATGTCGAAGTACGATCTGTTGGGATTGATTTCAACGAATAAACGACATGGTTTTTCTGAAAAACTAGTAACTAGCCATTTTTGAGAGGTGAACTGAATATGGCATGAAATATTTATCGCATTTTACTTGTATTAACAGGTCATTGTCGAAGCGTAGTTTACGCACGGTTATCGTGTTCTACACATTCACATGTTCACAGCGATCGATATCCATGCTGTATCATATAAAAACGATTACCAAGATTCGTTACGCAAGACCAAGTTTTAAATTAGTTGCATTTTGAAGGGGTGGGCGCTTTGCCGAATGTGACCCCAAATATAAAAATTGCACAAAAGTGGGGGGTGGGCGCTTGCCCGGGCATGGGCGCTAACGCGGTCGAGTACGGTATTAGACATTACAGGTTCCTGATGCACATCAATTATTTTTCAGATCGGATTTAAAATGGCTGTCTGGTGGCTATTTTGTTTTAATGATTGGGCTTCTAGAGCCATATCTCTTAAATATTTTGACTTATTATATTTAAATTTTATATTTTCGTTATACATCATGTTATATATATACATATATTCAAAATGGGTAACTTTGAATGCTGTTCCAGAGCAATATCTCTCAATATGGACAAGTACTTGTTTGACAATCAGATACAAATGTCAATCATTTTAATGTTAAAAAATCATATTCCTGACATGGTTATATTCCAGCTATATTACTATAAACAAAACTATACAAAAAAATGTACATCTTAAATTTGACAGGGACTGTGCCATGCATGGCTTGTAAAATAATGACTTAGGACTTAGAATTTTCGTCACTTTTTCTTCCGAGGCCCGAGCTTACTTTCATGACAACAGTAAAAACGATAAATGAAGATTCTCGATTCTGGATGTTATCACAGTCACAAAGAGTACTGAACCGAAATGTGCGTATAGTTCTTCATTGTGCTTGTGCACTAAACGTGAATATTCTATCGAAAACAAGCTGAAAATTTCAA